ATTCCCTTTGTAAAGCAATGACTTCAGATGTTAAGACTGGATACTGGTTTGTGCTTTAAATGTCTTCCCCCGTGACAGGCATTAAGGAGTCGGACACCGGCCTGGCCCCACCAGCACTCTGGGATTTGGCTGCTGATAAACAGACTTTGCAGAGTGAACAACCGCTGCAGGTGGCAAGGTACATCAAACTGGGTGATCAATCTCAGTATTTCCATACCTAGCATCACTGAAGCTACTAAATATATGCATAGGAACATGTATAACACCCACTAAAAATATGTACCAGCATACACATACTGGCTCTTACAAGATTATTATTTATTGTCCATCTTACCCCCCCTCCCAAAAAAAAATAGATGCACAAAGATCATCAATGCAGACTCAGAGGACCCAAAATACATTATCAATGTCAAGCAGTTTGCCAAGTTTGTGGTGGACCTGAGCGACCAGGTGGCCCCGACTGACATCGAGGAGGGCATGAGAGTCGGGTGAGGCGAAAATATTATCATCTTTATCATATGATCACATTTATTCGTGTCACATATCTAGTGTAACAGTCTGCTAAATTTAGTGTCTTCTGTTCTTCCAGTGTCGACAGAAACAAGTATCAGATCCACATTCCTCTGCCTCCCAAGATTGACCCCACTGTCACCATGATGCAGGTATGAATGCACAACATGACTCAGATTTAAAAAAAAAAAAAAAAAAAAAAAACATTGTTTGAGCTTGTTATATTACATAATCAAAGTTTTATAAAGCCATAAGAGTTTATGAAGAAAAATCTGTGAAAGATACTATTTTCTTTTTATCCGTTTTAGGACAGGACGATTCCTGTCCTAAAACGGATAAAAAGCTCTGGTAATAACTTTGTCCACATTGTACTGTAGGTGGAGGAGAAGCCTGATGTCACCTACAGTGATGTTGGTGGATGTAAGGAGCAGATTGAGAAGCTGAGAGAAGTGGTTGAAACCCCTCTGCTGCATGTGAGTGTTCACAAGTCATCGATTTATATGGAAATCTAGTCTCCTCAGGAATGAATTAAACTCTCTGACATGTGGAAGATTCCACAATTGCCTCCACCCTGTCTGATCAGTATCTTGTTTAATCTTTTTCCTAGCCTGAGAGGTTTGTCAATCTTGGTATTGAGCCTCCAAAAGGTGTGCTGCTGTTTGGGCCCCCTGGCACAGGAAAGACCCTGTGTGCCCGTGCTGTGGCCAACAGGACAGATGCCTGTTTTATCAGAGTCATCGGCTCCGAGCTGGTACAGAAGTATGTGGGAGAGGTGAGACAGCAGAGGCCAGAGGAGCTCACCACTCAAGAATAGCAGCCATTTAGTAAATGATGATTAACATAAACATTTACTTTTTTTTGTAGGGAGCCAGGATGGTGCGGGAGCTGTTTGAGATGGCCCGGACCAAAAAGGCCTGTCTGATCTTCTTTGATGAAATTGATGCAATTGGAGGTAAAGCTTGTCTTGATGTCCCACTCTTTTCTGTTACAATGTTATTTATAGTGCAGTGTTCCTCCTAGTATAGTATAGACATGGTGGGCCACCATGCTAATGAGACCCCCACCCTGCCTACACAACAGGCTTTTTTTTTTTTTTTTTTCCCAATAGCACCGTCCAATATACACTCATTTGGAAATAATTATTTGTACTCGGAAGTTTGTCAGGTGCCTCTGTCCGTGTCTCCTCCCTGTTTCAATCTGATCTGCTTGTGATAGCTCTGGTAAGAAAAAAATGAACAAACCCTGGAATATATGAAAAATGAGAGTGACCTGAAAATACCACTTTTAGTAGAGGTCAAGAAGATGCAGGAGTTTTAAGTATTTGGGGTCAACAGTCCAGTGTGATGGGGAGTGTAGGAAAGAGGTGAATGCAGGCAGGTTGGAGTGGGTGGAGAAAGGGGTCAGGAGTGTTGTGTGACAGAAGAGCGGCAGCAAGAATCAAAGGAAAGGTGTACAAGACAGTAGTGAGACCAGCTATGCTGTATGGGTTAGAGACTGTAGCAGTGAGGAAAAGACAAGAGGCAGAGATGGAGGTAGCAGAGATGAGGATGTTGAGGTTCTCTTTAGGATGGACAGGATTAGGAATGAGCACATCAGAGGGCCAGCTCAGGTCGGCTGTTTTGGGGGCAAGGTCAGAGAGGCCAGATTGAGATGGTTTGGACATGTGCAGAGGAGGGATAGTGGTTATATTGGTAGAAGGATGTTGGAGATGGAGCTGCCAGGCAAGAGGTCAAGAGGAAGACCAAAGAGGAGATACAGTATATGGATATGCTGAAAGAGGACATGAAGTTAACTGGGGTGAGAGTAGAGGATGCCGAGGATAGAGTTAGGTGGAAACAGATGATTCGCTGTGGCGACCCCTAATGGGAACAGCCGGAAGAAGAAGAAGAAGAAGAAGAATAGATTTCGTACATACACCGAGATTTATGGACTCGAGATGTTTTCTTCACTCAGGCTTCTTCAAGTTGTATTAAGTTTGTGATATTTATATTTTTTCACGCATCTGCAATGTCACTATGTTTGCCTCTTGTCTTCACGTTCAGTACATTACACCAGTGCTACGATGTGTCAGTAATCAGTGTCGTTATAATAGTTTAATTGATCACTAAGTATTCATCACAAAGTGAATCTGCGCTGTAATGAAGTTTGAGAAAACATGAGATGATTTCCCATAATGCAGCCAATGTTAGTAAAAGTTATTTAGCTGCTATAAGTTAACATGAGCATGACACCACTTAAGAGGAAACCGGGGAATCCTCAGCCAAAAATATTAATGTTTTTCTTCTGAGACAAATGACGATGTGGTAGAAGGGAGAGAGGTGAGAGGGGTGGAGGGGGGCAGGGGTGAGGGCTCCCCCATTGACCTAAGCATCGGTGACACGTGTATACAGGATCTGGGTCAAATGCGGTCTTGGGCGTGAACCAGCAGATAGAAGCGAACATCTGGCTGAGACCCAGAATGGTTCAAGATCCCCAAATATAGCCCATGGTTGTAAGTTCCAATTTGTTGACCTCATAGATTTAAATCTAACAGTTTGTACCAGCTTGAGAATTTATTAGCTTTATTATTTGATACATTGCATTATATGGATTTCCTTTTTATTATTTTTTTCTTAAAGATTGTTTGTTCACACTTAATCAGTTGTGGAGTAATTGGTAGCTTTGACAGTTATTTGTGTGCAATAAATGCATCTTATTAATACTCTCCTTGTTTTACATGAAATTTACATAGAAGTTACCAACCAAAAGTCTGGCGTTTCATGTGAAATAAATTACCAAACATTTTTGTGCATGCACACAAAACTTCCATCATCCTCTTGCCACCATGCCTGAAAGAGTTTCTAGGGGAAACACTGTAGTACATGGGTGTTGTGATCCTTTAAAAATGGTGCTTGCATTGAAGCTGTTCTGGCAGCACGTGTTGGCCCAACACCTCCTTAAGACACTTGAGTTGGCACCACACATGGCTGCCTTGGTTCTGTACTGGAAACAAATTCCTTGTGTGTAACACAGTTGGCCAAATAAAGGTGATTATTATTATTATGAACATCAAACCTTGACTTTGTGTATACCTGCCAGGGGCCCGTTTTGATGATGGTGCTGGTGGAGACAATGAGGTCCAGAGGACCATGCTGGAGCTCATCAACCAACTGGATGGCTTTGACCCTCGTGGGAATATCAAAGTTCTGATGGCCACCAACAGACCAGATACACTGGACCCGGCCCTGATGAGACCCGGGCGTCTAGACAGGAAGATCGAGTTCAGCCTGCCTGACCTGGAGGTGAATCATAAGTGTTGACACATGGTCATAATTCAAGCAATATACTGTACATGGCCAAATGAAGCTTTTTTTTCTTTAATGAACCTTTGTACCATTTCATTTCAGGGTCGCACACACATCTTCAAGATCCATGCCCGTTCTATGAGTGTGGAGAGAGACATCCGCTTTGAGCTGCTGGCTCGCCTCTGTCCCAACAGCACTGGTAAGACTGACACAGCAGCTTTCAATCCTTGTTCTGCCATCGTTCTTCTAAGCTCTCACACTGTCTTTGTTTTCCTCTCCCACATCGACTTCTTCCTCATCCGTCTGCTGATTCAAATAGATGTCAGCAGTATTTTAATCAAGTTTTTTTGCATCCTGTTCTAAATTCATCATCCCAGGGTCATAGAAACACTGACAGACTTTTGAACTTTGTGATTCTTCTCAGTTACTTAGTGTAGCACTAATGTGTGGCCACAAGGGTACACTATAAAATCATTTTCTAATGAACATCTCCAAATTTAGAACTTTTGAATTTTTCAGAAAAAGTTAAGAATTGAGTGTGCTTTTAAAATTCTTATTGCCAAGCTAAATAAAATAAAACCCAATTATCTGTGCACTGTCACAAAGCTGAAAGAGTAACTCATGAAAAGCTAATGTTTTGGGAGAGATTATCTAACCTATCTGGCTGTAATGAAGACTGGATCTGAAGGAATCGGATATCTGAGCAAGATATCATAGCTCAGCACTCCTATATTAAAGGGTTGTTACTGTCCTGTAGCACTAAAAAGGCTTTACCAGCAAAATGAACAGATAAAGCTACATGAATGACAGAACTTCATGTGTATCCTAGAAAACATTCTGTAAGCAAAATTTTATTGTTTCCGGTTAGGCGCTGAGATCCGCAGCGTGTGCACAGAGGCAGGAATGTTCGCCATCAGAGCTCGCAGAAAGATTGCCACAGAGAAAGACTTCCTGGAGGCTGTTAACAAGGTCATCAAGTCCTATGCAAAGTTCAGTGCCACCCCAAGATACATGACCTACAACTGAGTGTGAGCAAGTTCCCAATTTACTGGCAAAGTAAAAATCGTCTTTTCGTTTTCATTGTTGTTCCCTTAAAAATAAAGTTTATTCCAGATTTGAGTCCCAGTGCTTTGTTCAGTGTTGTGAAATGATATTATTGTAACTTTAAAGGCATCATGTGTTATAGAGTAACAGTACAACTAAAGCTTTTTTTAAAATAGGAAAACTTGTTTACTAAAATGTCAAATGACAATGTATAATACACAGTGTTCAAACTCAAAACAGCAGTGTAAAGGTACTATAACAACAAACATGACCCTACAGACTGACCCAACTATGATCATTTTTGATTGTCTAAATAGTTAAACAAATACAGCTGAATATATAATACTCACATATTCATCAGGACAACTTCTCAGTCATAAACATTTGATACCAGCATGATGATGAGAGGCAGCTTCTGCTCTCAACCACTACCACAAACTGGACTCTTAGATAATCACTCTTTCAGTGTCACTGGAATAAGAGCAGCACATACATTTATTTTTTTAAGTACAAAGTGCAGCTTATAGAATCCCCTCTTCAGAGAGTATGCATAGGAATACAGCTGTAAACTTGATCTTTATTTTCTGATTGGATAAATCCTCATGAAACGGCAGTGTATTTCGCTGCTTTGGGTGCTTCACAAGAGGAGAAGCACACACCTATCCTACTCCTCTATTCAATATGAACGATTGTTGAGTACATTTCTGCTGTCATGCTCGAACATCCGGAGAGGAGTTCATTGCTCCTACAGGTAGGTTGTGGGACCTCCCATATCTGTTGTCTGAGTCAAAGGCACTGCTGCTGTGATTGGTTCTTCTTGGTTACATGTGTCACTTCCTGTCAGCTCATTCAATTGGTTGGAGCCGCTGCTGGGTGGCAATTTGTGTTGACAGTACAGCACGGCATCATGAACTGTGGGGAACACCATGGCTGTGGTCATGTTTCCAGTGAAAAACTGTAGGGTATCCAACTGAACCAATAGGCTTCCTAGCAGATCAAAAAAAAGAACTGTCAAATTAAAGCCAAACTGTATATGCTCATACTACAGTAGTAAGAGACAGATGTGCACTACCACTCAAAAGCTAGGACATTTTCCCACTCAGTTCAGAAAGTGTGTCAAAACATTTGACTGGTAGTGCAAATACATTTTCACAGCACTGTATTTAAAGAAATTCATAAATTGATCTATAATTATGCAATAGGAGCAGGGTGATAACATTAACTAGTGCAAAATGAATCAAATTCATCCATTATCTATACCACTTATCCTGAATAGGGTAGTGGGGGGCTGGAGCCAATCCCAGCTGACATTGGGCGAGAGGTGGGGTACACCCTGGACAGGTCGCCAGTCCATCACATGTCTGACACTTGGAGACAAGCAACTACACTCCTATGGGAGATGGGACTAGGTCAGCCAAGGCTCAAACCCAGAACCTTCTTGCTGTGAGGCAACAGAGCTAACCACTGTGCCACCATGCTGCCCGCTGGGGAGATCGCTGGAACCAGTGCCAGCTGACACTTGGTAAGACAAATTAAATCCAATGGTGTGATTACAATTCCAAGCAGGGTGGCATGGTGTTGCAGTGGTTAGCACTGTCACCTCACAGTGACTGCACTAGTTGTGGAGTTAGCATGTTCTTTTGCCTGCGTGGGTTCTATTCAGGTACTCCGGCTTCCTTCCAAAGACATGCATCTTAGGTTGAGTGTGGGTCTGTGTGGTTGTTTGTCTACATGTCAGCCCTGCGATGGACTGGTGACCTGTCCAGGGTGTATTCCCTCTCACCCAGCGTCAGCCCCCACCCAAAACATCCATCCATCCATTCATTTTCTATACTGCTTAGTCCCAAACGGGGTCACGGGGTCTGGAGCCAATCCCAGCCGGCTGCAGGCGAGAGGCGGGGTACACCCTGGACAGGTCGCCAGTCCATCGCAGGGCAAACACGCAGACAAACAACCACTCACACTCCTATGGGCAATTAAGAGACACCGATCAACCTATGCTGCATGTCTTTGAACAGTGGTAGGAAGCTGGAGCACCCGGAGAGAACCCACGCAAGCACAGGGAGAACATCCAAACTCTACACAAAAAGGCCCCAGGGCAGCTGGGGCTCGAACCCGGAACCGCCTCGCTGTGAGGCAACAGCGGTAACCACCATGCCACCGTGCTGCCCCCACCCAAAACACTCTTCAGTATAAGCAGTATAGATAATGCATGGGTGGATAATTCTAAGCAACTGATACTTATACTCAATTGTCAGTTTATTAAATACATCAAGCTAAATAAATAAAAAAAAAGATATCATGACTACTTACTGCTGCAGCCTGCTATGACCACCCGGACATCCACATCTGCGTATTCCTTAATGACCTGCATAAACACATACAGACTTACTCACTGAAAATGAAATGAAGGTCTGTGTAGACAGAGTTCCTACAAGCAATCCTAAACTGATACTGAAAATAGCCTCCAATGACAAGGGAAGATACCTGTTTGATGGCTTTGGCTCCCACAGAGTCAGTGAAGTTGGCGGACGTCCAGTCCAGGATGATTGAGTGGACAGTGCTAAGAAGTCCAAGGAAGATGGCCTCCTCTGAGTTGGACTCACTGTGTTTGTCCTCCAACTGTTTGTTTCTCTGCTCCTCTGCCATGTGGTTACCGGGCATAACCTCATGGGTCAATCCCTCCTTTTTGTACTAGAAACAATCAAAAAACTGATTTTATTATGAGGGGAATTCAACAGCTGACAAGGCATCTTGTTGAGCTTGCATACAATCTTACAAATGCCAATTTTTATTTGTGTGTATTTCATAATTCTAAAACTGTGGGAAGCTTTCACTATTACTACATGTAAATTATGATATTCATGGGTTAGGTAAAATAAATGTTCCATGTAGTTAACTGCCAATGTTTTACAGAATTTCTACTCTACTACACAATCCTTAAAATCCATCAATGCATTTTAGGGCCACCAAGGCCTGAGAAACATGGTGTGATAAAACCTCATGAGGTTCAGTCACTTCCTGTTACTGTACATCAGCCTGGGAAACACATTTTTCAGTCCCTCCAGGATTCATACAATCCCCTATGTTGCTGAAAACATGGTTTTAAAAACTTTACAAATAAAAAAAAATGGCAATCTCATTTACAGAAGTATTCAGGCCCTTTACTTTGAAACTCAGGTGCATCCTCTTTGCTTTAATTCTCCTTGAGATGCATTTAGAACTAAACTGGAGTCCACTTGTAGCAAAATTAACTGACTGGACACAGTTTAGAAAGGTACACACCTGTGTACATGAAGTCCCATAATATACACTATATGTCAGGATACATTTTGACTTTGCCAGTATGGGTTACAAAGCAATATTATCCATTTCAATTTATTTAAATCTGCAACAAAATAAAATGTGCACAGAGTAAAGGGCAGCCACTGTACACTGTCAACAAAGCAGATGGTCACTGCTCCTCTTGTCTGTTCTACGATTTTTCACATCTTCTACATTTTCAAGTCTTTGAACAAATTCTACAACTATTAAAATGCCTCCAAGAGAGAAAAGAGCTAATAAATCAGAAGCGAAAGAGGAGGTTGAAGCAGAAGAGGATTATATTTCAGCAGCGCAAGTAACAGAGATGTTGAGTCAGCAGAAGCAGATGTACACTGCACTGTTGAGCCAACAACAAGACAACTTCAAAGGTTTTGTGCAACTACTTATGGAGACAAATAACAAGAGACTCGACGACATGACCAGAGAAATACAGGAGATAAAAACAAGTTTGCAGTTTACCCAGCGAGATGTGGATGTGATTAAAGCAGCCATG